GGTTTCTCACCTAGTACTTTTAAACACTTCTTTAAAAAAGATTTTATTTTTAAGAAATCTCTATACTCAACATAGGGCTCGACCTCATGACCCTGAGATCAAGAGTCATATGCTCTACTGACTGAGCCAGCCATGCACCCCACACCAAGTACTTTTAAAAGAATGTCTGTAAGCTAGTCTTGGTCTTCGCAATTCTATATCAGCTTCAGAGTCAACTTGTCAGGTCTTTTCCCCATCTCACAAAACAAAAACTGTTGGGGTTTTAATTGGGATTACTTTGAAGCTATAGATCAGGTTGGGAAAAATAACTGTTTTGGTAAGTCCTAAAATTTTCCCTATAAAAATGTTTACAACTTTTTTTTTTCCAGTAAGCTCTTCACCCAATGTGGGGCTCGAACGCGCAATCCCAAGATCAAGAGTTGCATGCTCTACTGGCTGAGCCATCCCGGCACCCCAAATGTTTATAACTTTTCTCTAAAGATTTATTATTTGAGAGAGGCAGAGAGCGAGCAGCCGGTGGGGGGGCGATGGGAGAGGGAGACCAACACGAACCTAGCCTGAGATCTTGACCTGAGCCGAAATCAAGAGTTGGACGCTTAACCAACAGCCAGTGAGGTGCCCCTGCAACTTTTGTTAGATTTACTCCTGTGCTTGGTGTTTGTGGTTTGAAAACAGTATATAAATAGCTTTAAATTTTGTTTATTGTTAGTCTATAGAAATATATACAGTTGATCCTAATTTGTAGATTCTGAATTTGTGAATTCATGTAATCGCCAAAATTTATTTTAACCCCCAATCTCCCAGCGCTTTCCCAGTGCTCTCGGGGTCATTTTTGGACATGTGTAGAGCCTTGTAAAATTTGAGTTGCTCAACAGGCACATTCTCAGCTGAGATGAAACAAGGAATGCTCTGCCCCCCCTTTTTTAAGTTTTTATTGAGGTATAATTGAGGTACAACATTATGTTAGTTTCAGGTGTACAGCATAATAATTCCACATTTGTATATATCACAGACTGCTTACCACTTAAGTCTAGTTAACATCTTTCACCATACGTAGTTACAGAATTTTTTTCTTGTGATGTGAACTTTTAAGGTTTACTTTCCTAGCAACTTTCAAATACGCAATACGATTATTAACTATATCACCATGCTGTACATTTTATCCACCTGACTTACTTATTTTATAACTGGCAGTTTGTAGCTTTTGACTCCCTCACCCATTTTGACCCCCCACCTCCACCCCTGCCTCTGGCAACCACCAATCTGTTCTCTGTGTCTGTAAGCTTGTTATTTTGTTCTGTTTTAAAATTCCACATATAAGGGAAATCATATGGTATTTGTCTTTCTCTGTCTGACTTGTTTCATTTATTGGCCCTCAAGGCCATTCATGTTGTTGCAAATGGCAGGATTTCATTCTTTTTTATGGCTGAAGAATACGCTATTGTGTGTGTGTGTGTGTACACCACATTTTCTTTATCCATTCACCTGTCACTGGACACTTAGGTTGTTTCTTTGTCTTGGCTATTGTAAATAATGCTGCAGTGAACATGGGGGTGTGTATATCTTTTAGAGTTAGTATTTTTTTTTTCGTCTTCAGATAAATCCCCAGAAGTGGAATTGTGGAGTATATGGTAGGTCTCTTTTTAATTTTTTGAGGAAACTCATTATTTTCCACGGTGCCTGCACCAGTTTGCATTCCCATGAACAGTGTATAAGGGCTTTTTTTTCCCACATCCTTGCCAACAGTTCTTATTTCTTGTGTTTTTGATATAGCCATTCTCACCCATGTGAGGTGGTATCTCCTTGTGGTTTTGATGTGTATTTCTCTGATGATTAGGGATACTGGCATCTTTTCATGTACCTGTTCACCATTTGTTTGTCTTCTTTGGAAACATGTCTATTCAGATTCTCTGCCCTTTTTTTTTTTTTAAAGATTTATTTATTGATTTATTTGAGAGAGAAAGAGAGAGAGCGCGAGAGGAGGGAGGGTCAGAGGGAGACCTCAGTAGGGAGCCTGACGCGGGACTCGACCCTGGGAGTCCAGGATCATGACCTGAGCTGAAGGCTGTTGCTTAACGAACTGAGGCACCCAGGTGCCCTCTGCCCATTTTTAAATTGGATTGTTTGGGTTTTTTGTTATTAAGTTGTAGGAGTTCTTTATATAGTTTGGGTATTGACCCCTTATCAGACATATGATTTGCAAATATTTTCTTTCAGTCAGTAGATGGCTTTTTCATTTTGTTGATTGTTTCCTTTTCTGTGCAGAAGCTTTTTAGTTTTAGTTCCATGTGTTGATTTTTGCTTTTGTTGTCTTTGCCTTTGGTGTCAAGTCCAAAAAAATCAGCACTGAGACTAATGTCAAGGAGCTTACTATCTATGTTTTCTTCTAAGAGTTTTATGGTCCCAGGTCTTACATTCAAGTCTTTAATTCCTTTTGAGTTTGTGTATGGTGTAAGTTTTATTCTTTTGCATGTAGTTGTCCAGTTTTCTCAATATCATTTATTGAAGAGACTATCCTTTCCCTGCTCTGTATATTCTTGGTTCCTTTATCATAAATAAGTTGACTATATACGCGTGAGTTTATCTCTGGGCTCTCTAGTCTGTTTCATTGATCTGTGTGTCTTTTTATGCCAGTACCATACTGTTGTGATAACTATAGCTTTGTAATATAATTTGAAATCCGGGAACGTGGTGTCTCCAGCTTTGTTTCTCAAGATTGCTTTGGCTCTTCAGGGTCTTTCTTGGCTCTACACATATTTTAGGATTATTTGTTCTATTTCTGGGAAAAATACCACTGGAATTTTCATAAGGATTGCATTGAATCTGTGGATGCTTTGGGTAGTATGGATATTTTAACAATATTGATTCTTCCAATCCATGACACAGAATATTTGAGGTGGCTTTATAGAATATAATACTGGAAATAACAAGGATCAACTGTATATATATTTTTTATATTGTTTTTGTATCAAATAGTCTTGCTAGACTTGTACAAATTTTAGTAATTTACCTGTAGATTCTTTTGGGTTTTCTACATGCATAATCATGTCATATGCAAAATGACACTTTATTCCCCCTCTCCAGTCTTAATGACTTATAATTTCTCTTTTTTTGCTTTGCTCTGCCAGCCAGAACTTCCAGTACAACGTTGTATAGAAGTGGTCTTACGTGTCCTGTTCATAATCTCAAACGGGAAAGCTATCAGTGTTTCACCTTAAGTATGGTATCTGCGTAGATTTTTCTTAGGTAGCCCTTATCAGATTAAGGTTTCTCTTCCTAGTTTAAGACTTTTTGTCATGAATGGATATTGAAAATTTTTTAATCAACTGTGTTTTCTGCATCTATTGAAATGATTATATGATTGTCTTAATGGTTGATTTTTCTAACGTTAACCTTCCCTTTCTGGAATTAAGCTTCCATCATATTGTATTATCCTTTTTCTATGTTGCTGACTTGAGTTAGCTGATACTTTGTTTAAATTTTTACATATGTATTCATTAGTGAGATTGATGTAAATTTTTCTTTCTTAAAATTTCCTCGTTAGGTTTTGTATTAAGGTTATGGCTAGTCTCCTAAAACCACCTGGTTTTATGTAGATTTGGGATAGGTAGTGTTCTTTTTTTAAAAAAGAAATCTAAGGGGGCGCCTAAGTGGCTTAGTTGGTTGAGTGTGTGACTCTTGATTTCGGCTCAGGTCATGATCTCAGGGTTGTGAGATCAAGTCCCATGTCAGGCTCCATGCTGAGTGCTATGTGTGGAGCCTGCTTGAGATTCTCTTTCTCCCCCTCCCTTTGCTTCTCCTCTGTTCTCTCTCCCTCTTTCTTGAATGGAATAGAATTAAAAAATAAAACAATTCTCAGAATAGTTTATGTGAGATTGGCATGAATTTTTCTTTACATTTTGGTAGAACTTGACAGCAAGACCATCTAGGCCTGAGGATTTCGTTGCGGGAAGGTTTTTACTACTGTTTATTTTTGCTAATGGTTATTGGACTGTTCACATTTTATACTTTTTGTGTAGTTTTGATAAGTTTTTGTTTCTTAGCTATTTATGCATTTTACCTATATCTTCAAATTTATTTGTATTGAGTTGTTTACAATATTTCTTAGGATCTGTAATGATGTGTTTCCCCTTAATACTGGTTTTTGGCTTTTTCTCTCTTTGATCAGTTTCATTGACTTTTTGTCCATTTTATCTGTTTTTAAAGAACTCACTTTCCTTTTTGCTCTTCTCTGTTATGTTTGTTTTCCATTCATGCGAAAAAGAATTAACATTGCAGGCCTGAGACTGCTATCCTTAGAAAGTCCTGCTTACAAGGTTGGCCTTTGACGGGTGTCTAGAAACTTAGATTTCGGGAGGGTTCTCACCATTCCCTGACTGATAAGGGTAGTTAACTGTGCCTGAACTGTTTGTGCAATTTGTTTTATACTGAGCACCTGCTCTCCTTCTAGAAATCTAGAATTTTGGTATGTGATAGGCAGAGGGTGCCTGTAGGACCAGCCCCCAGTAAGAACTTTGGCCACTGAGTCTCTAATAAGCTTCCCTGGAAGACAACATTTCACATGTGTTCACATAATTCGGTGCTGGGGGAATTAAGGGTATCCTATGTGACTCCATCGTTGGAAGCATGCATCTGATTTCTGGCAGCCTTTGCCCCATGTGCCTATTCTCTTTACTGATTTTGCTTTGTGCCCTCCTGTAATAAATGATAGCCGTGAGTGCAACTATATGCTAAGTCCTGTGAGTCCTTCGATCTAATCATCATTGAATCTAGGGGGTAGCCTTAGGGATGTTGGACACACCATTGTGAATGGCGGGTATTTCTATCAGAGACTGAGCTGCTTATTGTCCTTGAAGCATAGTTACTATCAGTCTGTCTCATTGAGCTTCTCTGTTTGATTTCACTTGTGTGTTAAAAGATATTTGCATCACATGCAGAGATAATTTGATTCTCTCCTTTCCCCATTGTTCCTCAAATTTAAGGTCTTTTAAGGATGGTGCAGTTAAGAAAACTTATCCTCCAAAGATACTGGCCAGCCAGAAGTCTTCTGCCTTCTCTGGGATGCGGAGTGAGATACCTAGTGCCAGTCATCCAGTTCAGTATCATGCCTCACATGGTTGGACCCGAAGGAACCGGTTACGAGAGTTGCGTATCAGGTGAGCTTGCAAGTTGTCACCTGCCTGCAGTGGCTTTTCCATTATTCTCCCTTCTTGGTGAAAATGAGGGGATGATTCTGATTCTTCTATCTCAATTAGTCGGAGACTTTGATGCCTACTCTTTGTGGCAGGATGTTCAGAAGAAAAGGATATTTAGGAATCTGCACATTTAAAGTCTGTCATTCTGTGTTTTCATTCACATTCTCTAGTTGTATCCACAATGTGTAAGCTATAAAGAGTCTTCCAGAAAAAGGCCATACATAGTATGAGAAAAATTGTCATTTTCCACTACTTTTGATTAGGTCTATCAAAGGCATTCATTTATTCATTCAACAAAAATTTTTTAAAAGATTTTATTGAGAGCAAGAGAGAAGAGAGAAAGAAAGTGAAAGAGCACAAGCAGGGGGAGCAGCAGAGGGAAAGGGAGAAGCAGACTCTCTGCTGAGCAGGGAGCCCGATGTGGAGCTCGATCCCAGGACCCTGGGATCATGACCTGAGCTGAAGGCAGATGCTTAACCAACTGAGCCACCCAGGCACCCTCAACAAAAATTTATCAGGCTTTCTCTTCCTTGGTGCTGCCTGAGGAGGCACCATATATGTCTGGCACCAGATATGTCAAAATTAAGTGCAATTGGAGGAAACCCAGAGGCATTGACAGTAGGGTGCACAGAAGATTCAAGGGCCAGATCTTGATGCCCAGCATATGTTACAGGAGCAACAAGAATACCAAGCACATGCTGCCCAGTGGCTTCCAGGAGTTCCTAGTCCACAGCGTCAAGGAGGTTTAAGTGGTGAGGATGTGCAACAAATCTTACCTTGCAGGGATTGCTCACAATGTCTCCTCTAAGAACCACAAAGCCACTGTGGAAAGCGCAGCCCAGCTGACCATCAGAGCCACCAATCCCAATGCCAGGCTGCACAGCGAAGAAAATGAATAGACAGCTTCTGTACACATTGTATTTGTGTTAATAAAACCATAAAACTACAAAAAAAAATTTTATCAGGTGCCTACTTGGCTAGGTGTTGTGCTAGATGCTGAGCATACAAGGTGAATAAGACATTCCTGGCCCATGACCTCATGAAAGCTTAAAATCATATCGGCTTGACAGACTGTTAAGTCACACCAGGAAAGCATGATAAATGCTATAAGATGAGAGGATGTGGTGCTGTAGGCCCACATGGCTAGATCAGCACCACTAGTGTAGCCAGAGGAACTTCCTGGAGGAAGTGGGGTTTAAGATGAGTCCTAAAGGTTAATGTAAGAATAAGGCAATTAAAGGGTAGGAGGAAGAAGAGTGTTCCAAGCTGAACCTGGAGACAAACTGGCCCAGACAAGCCACGTTTTTTGTGTGTGTACCAGGCACTGTGCTAGGTACTTGGGATCCTGTAAGACATGGTCCCCATTCTCAGGGCCTCACAGTACAGAGGAAACAACAGGTCCCCTGTGAGCTGATTACTGTGATTTGGTGTCATAACATTATATTTACTAAGGGTTGGATCAGAGTGTTGAAGGTACAAGGCTACTCACCGTGTTTGGGTTGGGGAAGGTCCAGGAAGGCTTTACATAGCAGCAAGCATTGAAGATGAACCTTGATAGGTAAGTGGGCATTTGCTAGGTGTTTTAGGCAGTAAGAATCATATGAATAAAAGCATTATCATGTACTTTCCTTTTCCTCAACTCTGAAGTCTTCAGTGACAAAAGACTTTATATTGAAAGTATTTTTCAAAATTAATCAGCTTGGGGGGTGCCTGGCTGGCTCAGTCGGTAGAGCATAGGACTCTTGATCTCAGGGTTGTGAGTTGGAGCCCTGTAATGAGGGTAGAGATTACTTATAAAAATAAACATAATAAAAACAATCTGCTTGATCTTGGCTTTATAAACCTGTCCCATCCTATGCTCTATCTGATGGAAGATTAGCTGTGATTCACCTTTTGACTCATGCTACCATCTCTCCCCAGGGGACCTTAGTTTCCCTCTGCTTTCCAGAAATTGATGAAATAAATGGAGTTTTAAAACGTGTATATATCCTTTCTTTCCTTCTTTCAGATGCGTGGCCAGAAAGTTCTTATATTTGTGGATTCGAATGACTTTTGGAAGAGTATTTCCCTCTAAAGCCAGGTAGTATTAGCTCAGAACACCAAACTTCTCTGAGTTCATTCTAGGTTTTTGTTTTGTATTAAGCCCATGTGTGACCTTTGTTATGGTATGTGTTACATTCTTCCCCTCCCCACCCCCCAAGCCTCCAGCAGGCATATAATGGTCATCTAACATATATTAGTTTGATCAAATGAGTGTATGAAGGAATCCTAAGTAAACCAGGATGGCTAAGACCCTCTCTGAAAAAAAGTATTTGCCCAGAAGTAAATAACCTGTTTCAGGGCACTGTCGAGACTGACCACATTGACTTGATCTAGGGCAGAACCTGGGGGAAAAAGTTGGCATTGGCAAGGGGAGGGAAATTTTAGTCGAGAGAATGTGTATGGGCCACTGCGCCCTACTGCAGGTTTTGGTTAAAATTGCTTCAGTGGGGGCGCCTGGGTGGCTCAGTCGTTAAGCGTCTGCCTTCAGCTCAGGTCATGATCCCAGGGTCCTGGGATCGAGCCCCACGTTGGGCTCCCTGCTCAGCGGGAAGCCTGTTTCTCCCTCTCCCGCTTGCCCTGCTTGTGTTCCCTCTCTCGCTGTCGCTCTCTGTCAAATAAAATAAAATAAAATCTTAAATAAATAAATTAATTAAATTGCTTCAGCAGCAGCACAAAAGGGCAAAGAGCTGATTGCAATGGGGAGCCACCAGGGTCAGGGACACATGCAGGAGCTGGTGGGGCTGGAGAGAAGCGGCCAGTGTAGGGTAGATTTCAGAGGAAGAATTGGCAGCCACTGAGATATAGGCATTTTTTTAAAAAGGTAAATGTTGTAGGTTCTTAAGCCCTCTACTCTTCCCTTACTACAACCTTTCTTGTTTCATATTTCTAACATTGTGGCTTTCCTAATCGGGAACATCATCCAAATCTTTTGATTCAAAGTCTTTTAAGCAAATTTGGCCTGTGGCTGTCCCCTGAAATCTGTGCGCATACCCTGTGGGGGACCATGCTGTTCCCATCTCCTTGGTGCGGCTTTGCCAGTGAAGCTTCCAGGGTGGCAGCAGTCCATCCAGCCATACACGTTAGGCAGAGTTCACCTCTGCTTTTCCTTCTTCTCCTGAACCTTGGCCCTGTCCTTTTTCACTTCCTTGGTAGCTTTTCAGTACCTTCAGTACCTTCAAATAAAGTTGTTGTTGTTTTTTAATTCAGTTGAGTATTTTATTTATTCCCCCCCAAAATTTTTATTCTTCTTTTAGTGATTGCCCTAAAGAATATAATACATATCTTCAGTTTATCAGAGTCTAATGTTAATTGGCCCTTTTGCCCTCTTCCCAAACAAGGCAAGGTCCTTAGAACACTTTTAACTCTGTCTGTCCCCCTCCCCACTTATATGCCCTTATTGTAAGGTATTTTAATTCGGTTTATATTTTAACATCTGCAAAACATTTATTTTTTCTTGTTTTATACAGCTAATATTCATTTAGATTTATTCACATATTTACCCTTCCTGTTCTTTTCTTCCCCCCTATGTCTCCAGGTTTCCATCTGTGATTATTTTCCTTCTGTCACTGGAACATCCTGATCATTTGTTTCAGAATAGATCTGCTTGTGATGAATTCTCTCAGATTTTGTCAAAAAATGTTTTTATTTCACTTTCGTTTTTGAAGGATATTTCACTGCATAGAGAAATCTCGGTTGCCAGTTTTTCCCCCAGCATTTTGAAGATATTTCATTTCTTAACACTTCCATTTGTAAGTCGTTAGTCTAATTATTGCTGTTTTGAAGATTCATTATCTTATTTTTCAAAGTTTTAATATGATGTGGCTGGGTGTGGATTTTTCTTTTTTTAAAAGATTTTATTTATTTGTCAGAGCGCATGAGAGAGAGCACAAGCAGGAGGGAGCGGCAGGCAGAGGGAGAAGCAGGCTTCCTGCTGTGCAAGGGGCCCAATGCTGGACTCGATCCCAGGACCCCGGGATCATGACCCCAGCCGAATGCAGACTCTTAACCGACTTAGCTACCTGGGCGTCCCTGGATTTATTTTCTTAAAGTCTTTTAGCTCATTCTGAGGTAATAGGTGATAGGGTTTGTATTTTTGCTTTGTTTTATGCACACATTTTTCTGGCATACTTTATCTATAGGCATATTATTCTCCTTTTCCTTTTCCATACAATAACTTTGTATAGGATCTGACTTCAAATATTTTGTTGTTCATTTTTTTTTTTTTTAAAGATTTTATTTATTTATTTGACACAGAGAGTGAGCACAAGCAGGGGGAGCAGCAGGCAGGCAGAGAGGTAGAAGCAGACTCCTCACTAAGCAGGGAGCCCGGTGCGGGACTTCATCCCAGGACCCTGAGATCATGACCTGAGCTGAAGGCAGATGCTTAACGACTGAGCCACCCAGGTGTCCCTTGTTGCTCATTTTTATGTGGAATTGATCTTTCTGAACTTTTTAGAGTGAGGCAAGATCAGTTAACTTTCCTATTTCACAGAGCTCCCACTTCTGTCTCGTTTGTAGTATTAAAAAAATATGGCAGCTTGCTCTATGGGATATCCTGGTTCTATTCCCCTAAAACACTTGGTCTGATTCTCTCTTTCCTTGTCTCTCTTGTCCATCTCCTGCTCAATTTCTATTCTCCTTCTAGCAGCTTTTCCTCATTTTGAAACTCTGGCCTAAAAGGGAACCTGGCATGTTGGTTCTGAGAATAGGGGCAGGACTGCTCCAACTGTTTCAATTTTGTCTACATTAGCCCTGCTAGTGGAAAGGAGAAAACTCCTCTCAGATTCAGCTGCTAGTCTCAGATGGGGTCTCTGCACTTTGCAGTGACTACTTATTGGCTGTTTTGGGGTTTTCCCATTCTCAGTTTCCTTAGATGCCACCCTCATTGCTCCTTCTTCCTCCTGTAGAAATGTTAATACCATGCAGGTCTTTTGACTGTGGATGGTTTGTCTTCACCTGCTTGCATTTCGGTTTCATGGGGATACCTTGTCCCATGGTTTTGTTGTAATTGATGCATGAATTTTTGGTTTTGCTACATGGTTGCTGTGTGTGTTTTATGGGGATTCAGAGACTGGAAAACTATGTTGTCCTCTCCACTATCTTCCCCAAGTTCTTTTCCTTCTTAATTTTATTTAACTTAATATTTGACCCATATTTAACTAGAAATGTCTAAGTAATACCCATTTATAGTCCCAATATTTGGGAAATGCAGATTATATTAGAAATGCATTTGACTCTAAGTGAGAGAAAGTCTGAGTGGCTTTAAAAAATTGGGATTTGCTTTTTCTCATAAGCAGTTTGGAGGTTGGTCTTGGTTTAGCTGCTCAGGGAGGCCATCAAAGACTCAGGCTTTCAGTACCTTCTGAGTTCACCTTTTTTAACATATGTCCCTTTGTCCTCAGAGATGACACTGCATAATTGCAAAATGACTGTTATATTTTACACAGGAAGGAGTAGGGAAGGGTGGTGTCATATCTGTCTTTTACTCAGGGAAACAAAACTTTACTGGAAACCCTCAGCTGCATTCTGCTCTGCCTCATTGTCCAGAGCTGTGTCACTGGCTGCCTTTTGCCACAGAGGAGGCTGGGAAAGAAAGCTTTCCCAGCAGGTGCCCGTGAGGAGGCCGAGGCCTGACAGTGGGTGTTGGGTTAGCCGGTGACCGATGTCTGCCATACTGCTTTAAAATCATCCCCTATAATCTTTACTTTCTTTGCTCTTGACTGGTAGCAGGGTCTGGAGGAAAGGTACTGGACTGGAATTTCAGAGACCTGAGTTTTCGTCCTAGCCCAGACCCTAGCTAATTGATCTTGGGATAAGTTATGGCTCTGGGCCTGAGTTTCTCAAATTGTAAAATGAGAGAGTAAGAATACTGCTTGTTCTCTAAGCATCTACCAGAATTAGAATTCTGATACTGTGTTGACTTAGAAATTTAGGATTTTTTTTTTTTTCCCCAAGTTGTGATCTCTTTTTAAATCAGGTGGGTTGTTTGTTACTTTGGGGAAGATTAGACATATTAATGTTGGCTTTTTTTGTTTGTTTTGGTCTTTTTTCATGTTATTTATTCCTCACTTTTAGGAATATTAGAGGAGAATTAATTCATACCAGAAAATGCAGAATAATGCCTTTATGTTCTTGGAAATTGTTCTAACTTTTATAAAATGGCGTTGTTTTATCATTAGTAAACTGAGTCAAAATGACCATCGAATTAGTAGGGCAAAAATAATGCAGTATATGTCCATATATAAGGTAGTCTTAAATATGAGGTAGTCACCTATTTTCCTGAAGAGAAGATCTGAACAAAGTTTTTTTGGTTAACTTGAGAAGTAGGTAAAGCAGTCAGGTCTTTCTACAGTATTTAATTCATCAAGATTTCTTCCTCATTCTTAGTTAATGGCCTTGCTTCCTATTTTCTTGATAGAAACAGCAGAAGAGGGGCACCTGGGTGGCTCAGTTGGTTAAGCGTCTGCCTTCTACTTAGGTCATGATCTCAGGGTCCTGGGATGGAGCCCAGCATCGGGCTTCCTGTTCAGCGGGGAGTCTGCTTCTCCCTCTCCCTCTGCCCCTGCTCATGTGCTTTCTCTCTCACTCACTCTGTCTCTCAAATAAATAAATAAAATCTTAAAAAAAAAAAAAAAAAGAAACGGAGGAAACGCGCACAGGCTCCCTCCCTGACATCCACGCACCGCCAACATCTGTCACCGTGCAAGCTGCTTTCTCTGCCGTTAGGCAGGTGAACTGTCCTTGCTCTTATCTGCGGCAAAATCCTTGGCTTTTGCACTGTTTCCTTTGTGCCTACTCAAGGGTATTACTCTAGCAGTTTTTTTTTTCTCTTTTCTGCATCAGTTTTTTGCCATTTACTGGATCATTTGCACCAGGATATACCCTTATTTCTCTCACGCTGAAAAAAAAATCTCTTTGACCATACGTCCTCCTGCAGCTAGCACTCCATCTCTTCGCTCCCCTTTACGTCAACTCCCCTGGCCATACTCTATCTCCAACACATATTGTAGTCTCTCTTAAATCCATCCCACCAGTCTTTAGATTCTACTCCTCCACCAAAATTGTTTTCGTTAAGGTCACTATATCATAATTTTTTGAGGTTAATGTAGCAATTTGTTTTTAAGATTTTTGCTTATATTGTCTGTTTCTTCTGAGCCCCCTTTTTCTCTCTGCTTTTGGTCACTGTCTCATATGGGAACCTTTCCCTAAATGTGAAAAGATCTTTTTATTGTCTGTTCATATTTAAGAGTTAGGCACTAAAATGCTGATTTTGGAAGCTTTTCTATGTATGCACAGGGACTTGTAAATTGAAAGCTTTACTTTGGTTTTGAGGCAGAGACCAGACAGTTTCACTGGGGAACGTCCAGCTGTCAGTATCTAAAAGCCTTTTCCCAGGGGGCACCTGGGTGGCTCAGTAGGTTAAGCGTCTGCTTGGGCTTAGTCACGATCCCAAAGTGCTGGGATCAAGCCCTGCATCAGGCTCCCTGCTCAGCGGGGAGTCTGCTTTTCTCTCTCCCTCTGCCACTCCCCCTGCTTGTGTACTCTCTCTCAAATAAATAAAATCTTTAAAAAATAATAATAAAAGCCTTTCCCTTAGGTTGATCAGTTTTCCCCAGAGGAGAACAATCCTCCAAACTCCTTCTAGGATTGAGCGGCTTGGAGGTGGGTGGTGGTGGTTATAAGCTTGACTGTAGGCAGAGGAGAGGGAATGGGGGGGGGGGTCTCACTGTTGAGTATGTGGACTCTGTTGAAGACCCTCTCCAGAGCTCTGCCTGGTATCCTGCAGTCCAGTGGCCCTCTGTTCAGCCTCTCCAGAGAGAAACCTGAGTCTCTGCTTGGGTGAATAACAGGACCTAGGGACCTAACTGCTTATGCCCAAGCTTGCCAACAATCCTATGTTTTCATCTCCAACCGGGGTTCTCCTGTTCCTGATGCCTCATGTTCCCTGCCTTTCTGATGTCTGTGCCACCAGCTGGTTGCTCCTTGATTCCCTCAGCACAGGACCCTTCGTTGTTCCTCTGCTTTCTCTGATCTGTTGGTTCAGTTGCCACTCGCCTGCCTGCTCTCTAACATCTAAAAAAAATTTTTTTTAAGATTTTATTTATTTGACAGAGAGCACAAGCAGAGGGAATAGCAAGCAGAGGGAGAGGGAGAAGCAGGCTCCCCGCTGAGCAGGGAGCCTGATGAGGGGCTCGATCCCAGGACCCTGGGATCATGACCCAAGCTGAAGGCAGACGCTTAACGACTAAGCCACCCAGGTGCCCCCGTGGCTCATTATTTGACAACACCAGAATAGAATAAAAACATATTTTTCAGATCAGAACTACTTAAATTAGAAAGAAAGCTAAAAAATGTTATACTATACCAATTAAAGAGGTTAAAGTAAAATTCAAAATCTGACTTTCCAAATACCATAAGCGAGTTGAGAATTATTCTCCAGTTCTTTTTCCCTTCATCAGACTAAAAATATTTTTGATTAGTAAAAAGTGGTAGCTACACTTCCCATTTACATATACAGGAGATTAAAAATTATAAGCAAATGCCTAATGGTATTCCTAGTATTTAGAGGAAAAGAGCATATTAGTTTAACTGAAATCTGGTCAGAGGAGTTATAAAAACAGCCAAAGGTAGGTAGAGGAAATAAAAAGGGGCCAAAGGTGATATAAAGAAAACAAGAGCAATGGCAGATTGTGTTGATGCTAACAGGCACTGTTCAAGGTGACTGATAACTCAAGAACTCTGCCTGCCAGTCGCTTTGAATTTCTATTCATGGTTCTGCAGGTTACTAACATGTTCTGCCTCCTCAGCACTCATGGTTTCTAAAAGACTAGCCAGCAAAAATATACATGAGGAAATTCACTTCACTGTTGTTCATAATAAAAAAGAGAGAGAAAATTACAACAAATGCCCCTCAAAAGGGGATAGGTTAAATTCAATCAATGCCACCTAGTCATTTTTTATGAAGTAGAGCTAAGTGATACTGAAATGGAGAGATGTTCCAGAGAAGGTGTTAGGTAAAAAGATAAAGCTACCTCATAGTATGTATGACACCATTTTTAAAAATTAATTTTTTTTGTATTTCCAGTACCCATGTTGGAATTAACATAATACATACTCAAATATATTTACATATGTATAGTAATGTATGCACACATATTTGTATACATACGTAAAAAGTTATCTACGTGTATATGCATGCACTGTGTGTACATATATAAATGGTTATACATATTAAAAGCCTGAAAAGGTTTCCAGTATACCAAACTAGCTAAGGGGACACCTGGGTGGCTCAGTCAGTTAAGCAGTCCTGCTCGGTGGGGAGCCTGCTTCTCCCTCCCCCACTCCTCCCGCTTGTGTTCCCTCTCTCGCTGCGTCTCTCTCTGTCAAATAAATAAAATCTTAAAAAAAAAAAAATGAGCCACGCTTTTCTATGAAAAAGTAAAGGCAATATGAAACTAATTTGGAAATAAATATCAGCTCCCACATCATCATGGATCTCTCTGATTTTTGTTCATTGCTGAAGGTTTTACTATGAGCAACGAATACTTCGGAAGGTCTTTGAAGAATGGAAAGAAGAGTGGTGGGTTTTCCAGCGAGAGTGGAAACTCTGTGTTCGAGCAGACTGTCACTACAGGTCAGGTTTCATGTTATATTACTTTAATTTTACTGATACACATTATTAAATAGTTACTTGTTAGCACGTTTCTGGTCAGAAGAAGAAAGTATTTTTGTTGTTTGTTTGTTTTCCAAAGATTCACTTATTTATTTGAGGGAGAGAGAGAAAGTGTGAGCAGGGGGAGGGGCAGAGAGGGAATCTCAAGCAGACTCCCCACTGATCAGGGAGCCTGACATGGGGCCCCATCCCATGACTCTGAGATCATGACCTGAGTCAAAGTCAAGAGTTGGACGCTCAACTGATTGAGCCACCCAGGCACCCCAAAAGAAAAAAGTTTTTTGCCCCCAGTTTTATTGAGATATAATTGACATATATCACTGTATGAGTCTTTGATGTACAGCGTAAAGGTTTGACTTGTAAAATGATTACCATGGTAAGTTTAGTTAACGTCCATCGTCTCCTACAGATAAAATAAAAAGAAATGGGAAAAAAAGAAGCTGGGTGGCTCAGTTGGTTAAACTCAGGTCATGATCTCAGGGTCCTGGGATCTGACCTGCATTGGGCTCCCCACTCAGCAGGGAGTTTGTCCCCTCTCCTGCCCCTCCCCCCACTCATGTTCTCTTTGTCTTTCTCTGAAATAAATAAAATAAAAAACACTTTTTTTTTTTTTTAGATATAATGGAAAGTCTTAGGATTTATTCTCTTAACAACTTTCATACATATCATACGGTAGTGGTAACTATAGGCATCATGTTGTACATTTCATCTCCAGTACTTCTCTATTTTATAATTAGACGTTTGTACCTTTTGACCACTTTCCTCCAATTCCCTCTCCCACCCCTGCCTCCGGTAAACACAAATCTGATCCTTTTCTATGAGTTTTTTGTGTTTGCTCTTAGATTCCCCATGAGTAAGATAGTGCAGTATTTGTCTTTGTCTGACTTAATCACTCAGTATAATGCCTTCAGGGTTCATCCATGCTGCCACAAATAGCAGGATTTCTTTGCTTTTTATCCCATTGTATATATCTGCCACAGCTTTATCCATTCACCCCTCCATGGACACTTAGGTTGTTTCCATGTCTTGGCTGTTGTAAATAGTGCTGCTGGGAACATAGGGGTACAAATATCTTTTCAAGTTAGTGTTTTCATTTACATTGGATATATTCCCAGAAGTGAAAATTGAAGTTTTCAGAATAGAGATTTTTGGTAGTTTTACTTTTAATTTTTTGTGGATCCTCCGTACTGTTTTCCATAGTAGCTGTAGCAATTTACAGTCCCATCAACAGTGCACAAGGGTCCCTTTCTCTACATTCACGCCAGCATTTGATATCTCTTATCTTTTTGATGATGGTCATGCTAACAGGTGTGAGGTGATAGCTCATTGTGGTTTTGATTTACATTTACCTAATGACTAGTGATGTTGAACATCTTTTAATGAACCTGTTGGCCTTTCCTATATTTTCTTTGGAAAAATGTCTATTCAGTTTCTTTGCCTATTTTTTAATTGAATTATTTGGGTTTTGTTTTTTTTTTTGCCATCGAGTGGTATGAGTTCTTTATATATTTTGGATATTAACCCTTTATCAAATATATGGTTTGCAGATATTTTTTTCCCATTCCATAGATTATCCTTTTCACTTTGTTGATTGTTTCTTTTGCTGTGCAGAAGTTTTTTGGTTTGGTGTAGTCCCATTTGTTTATGTTCTGTTTTGTTGCTTGTGCTTTAGGTGTCATTTCAAAAAAATCATTGCTAAGACCCATGTGAAGGAGCTCTTCTTGTTTTTTCTTTTAGGAGTTTCATGGTTTCAGGTCTTATATTTAAGTCTTTAATCCACTGCAAGTTAATTTTTGTGAGTGGTTTAAGATGGGGTCTAGTATTATTCTTTTACACGTGAATATTGAATTTTCCCAGCACCATTTTTCAAGGAGATTGTCATTTCTCCATTGAGTAGTCTTGGCTCCTTTGTCAAATATTAGTTAACCATATATACTTGGGTTTCCATGTATACTTGGGTTTGTTCCTGTCCATTGGTGTGTTTTTCTTTTTTTTTTTAATAAAGTAAGATTTTTCTTTTTTTTTTTTTAAGATTTTATTTTGTTTTTTTGTCAGAGAGACAGTGAGAGAGCAGAGGCGGAGGGAGAAGCAGGCTCCCTGCTGAGCAGGGAGCCCAATGCAGGACTCAATCCCAGAACCCTGGGATCACGACCTGAGCTGAAAGCAGACGCTTAACTGATTGAGCCCCCCAGACATCCCTCACTGGTGTGTTTTTGTGCCAGTACCATACTGCTTTGACTAATATAGCTTTATAGTATAGCTTTAAATCAGGAAGTGTGATGCCTCCTGCTTTGTTCTTCTTTGTCAGAATTGCTTTGGATATTTTGGGTCTTTTGTGGGTCCATGGAAATTTTAGGATTGTTCTACTTCTGTAGAAAATGCCGTTGGAATCTTGATAGGGCTTACATTGAATCTGTAGATGGCTTTTGGTAGCATTGTTTTAATAATATTTTAGTAATATTAATTAACATTTAATTATGTAATTAAGTTACATAATTTAGTAACATTTTAATAATTTAATTAATCTTCCAATCCATGAATGTGGGATACCTTTCCATTTATTTGTGTCTTTGATTTCTTTTGTCAGTGTTGTGTAGTTTTCAGAATAGAGATCTTTCACCTCGGTTAAATTTATTATAGAATATTTTATTGTTTTTGATGCTGTTGTAAATGGAATTGATTTATTTGTTTTTCAGATAGTTCACTGTTCGTATATGGAAATGCTACTGATTTCTGTATGTTGATTTTGTATCCTGCAAAGTTGACTGAATTTTTTATTAAATATAATAGTTTTGGGGCTGAGTCTGTAGGATTTTCTATGTATAAAATCATGTCACAAATAGAGACAATTTCACTTTTCACTTTTCACAATTTCCCATTCTGATGCCTTTTGTTTTTCTTGCCTGATTGCTTTGACTAGGACTTCCAGTATTATGTTGAATAGGAGTGGTAAGAGTGGACACTTTTGTCTTGTTCCTGATCTTGGAGGAAAAGCTCTCAGCCTTTCTTCTTTGCGTATGATGTTAGCTGTGGGCTTGTCATATATGGCCTTTATTATATTGAGATACGTTTGGTCTATCTGTAATTTGTTAAATGTCGTTATCATGAGTGGTTGTTGAGTTTTGTCAAATGCTTTTTCTGTGTCTTTTGAGGTGACCCTGTGATTCTTTTCTTTCATTCTGTTAATGTGATGGATCACATTGATTTGGAGAAGAGTTTTGAATCCTATTCTGTTTTTCTTCAAATTCTTTTTAGAATAAGTAAGATCAAAGTCCTAATTTAAACCCAAGCACATGTGCATGTGGACACACACACATAGACACCTCTTTAAGTAACCATTATGTGTTGGTCATATTAATGATGTGAATAGGGTTTTCTCACTGACTCTCACTTCTGTATAATTTCTAATTCTGAGAGTGTTCTGTTTTTTTTTAAATAATAAGTTGTTTTAATTTTTATTCATTATAGGAGAAAATATATGCCCAATATGGGACATTAAGAAAATAGAAATAGAGAAAAAACTAAATCTTGACATTAGTACTCCCAGTGATAAGTAGAGGAAAAAGTAAAAATTGGAATTATATCAAATATACATTTTATACAATAAAAAAATTAATGTATCTTACACAGTGTATCTTTTAAAAATAGCATTTACTCTCATAATCACTTCTTTATTTAGGTTCTTTGGGTCAGGGTTTCTGATTTGTGGATATTTCAGATAAGATAAAGACAATGTTGAATCATTTTAATAAGCTTATAGAGTATGAAATCGAGTCTTAGGAAATAGGATAGTGAAAATACGGAGGGACTGACAGTCTTAATGTGTATAGTGTATGTATTGAGAAGGAAAAGACAAAGGAAAGGTGTCATTGACCATGTTTAGTGCAGAGGAGAGGTAATGTTTTACATAATGTGGATGATTAAGGTGATAAAGATATGACTGTCACTCCAAATGTCACAGCTCTGTGAATGCTGAAGGTGAAGTTATTCTCAGGTAATTCAAGCCTATTTTTCCTTAATGATACTGTAAAGTGAGGAGAATGACTCTCCATCAAGGAGAATAGATTTCACTGTGACTATGTGAAATAAGATTTTAGCTTAAGATATGATTTTTTTGTATCAGAAGCATCCATGTTAATTTCTGAGTACAGAATGGACTAGTTATATTGAATTAGGAGTTTTTTTGGTTTAAAGAAATGCCATTTGGGGCACCTGACTGGCTCAGTCTGTGGAGCATGTGACTCGATCTCTGGTTTGTGAGTTCAAGCCCCATGTTGGGTGTAGAGATTTTAAATAAATAAATTTTATTTATTTATTTTTAAAGATTTTATTTATTAGAGAGAGAGATCACAAGTAGGCAGACAGGCAGAGGGAGAGGGAGAAGCAGGCTCCCCGCTGAACACGGAGCCCAATGCGGGGCTCCATCCCAGGACGCTGGGATCATGACCCGAGCCGAAGGCAGACGCTTAACTGACTGAGCTACCCAGGCGCCCCAATAAATAAATAAACCTTAAAAAATAAAGAAAGTAGGGGCACCTGGGTGTCTCAGTTGGTTAAACGCAACTGCCTTCGGCTTGGGTCATGATCCCGGGGTCCTGGGATCGAGCCCCACATCGGGCTCCTTGCCCAAGTGGGGAGCCTGCTTCTCCCTCTCCCTCTACTTGCCACTCCCCCTGCTTGTGAGCTCACTCTCTCTTGCTCTCTCTGTCAAATAAGTAAATAAAATCTTTAAAAAAAAAAAAAAAAGAAAGAAAGAAATGCCATTTGCCTTTTTTTTTTTTTTGCCTCCTCAGATATTACTTGTACAACCTGATGTTCCAGACCTGGAGGACCTATGTGCATCAGCAGCAGGAGATGAGGGCCAAGTACATTAGAGCCGAGAATCATGGTGAGACAAGGAAGTACATGTCTAAAGAAAATGCCTTCATTTATTTGATTTTCTTTTATGAAGACTTAATTTTTTGAGAGCAGTTTTAGTTAGGTTCATATCACAAAATTAAGGGGAAGGTACAGTGATTGTATCTCTCCCCACACGCATGCTTAGTCTCTCCCACTATTAACAGCCCTCACCAGAGTGGTACATCTGTTACAGTGAATCCACATCAACACATCATACTCACTCAAAGTCCATAGTTTACACTAGGGTTCACTCTCAGTATTGTACCTTCTATGGACATGTATCCATTATGGTATCATACAGAGTATTTTCGCTGCTCTAAAAATTTTCTGTGCTCTCCCTGTTTAGCTCATCTCCTCCCCCTGGCAACTTTTTTTTTTGTTTTAAAGATTTATTTATTTGAGAGAGAGAGAGAGAGCATGAGTGGGAGGGGCAGGAGAGGGAGAGAGAATCTCAAGCCGACTCTATGCAGAGCATGGAGCCCAATGCAGGGCTTGATCCCATGACCCCAAGATCGTGGCCTGAGCAGAAACCAAGAGTTGGACGTTCAACCGACTGCACCACCTGGGCACCCATCCAGATGCCCATCTACCCCCACCCCCAGCAACTTTTTACTGTCTTCATAGTTTTTCCTTTTCCAGAATGTCATGTAATTGAAGTCATATAGTATATAGCCCTTTCAGATTGGCTTCTTTTACTTAGTAATATGCAGTTAAGGTCCCTCCATATCTTTTTTTTTTTTTAAAGATTTTATCTATTTGAGAGAGAGAATGAGAGAGAGAAAGCACATGAGAGGGGGGAGGGTCAGAAGGAGATGCAGACTCCCTGCAGAGCAGGGAGCCCGATGCGGGACTCGATCCAGGGACTCCAGGATCATGACCTGAGCCGAAGGCAGTCGCTTAACCAACTGAGCCACCCAGGCGCCCGGTCCCTCCATATCTTTTATGGTTTGATAGCTCATTTCTTTCTTTTTTTTTTTTTTATGTTAGTCACCATACATTACATCATTAGTTTTTTGGTTTTTTGTTTTTTTTTTTTTAAAGATTTTATTTATTTATTTATTTGACAGAGAGAGACGCAGTGAGAGAGGGAACACAAGCAAGGGAAGTGGGAGAGGGAGCCGTGGGCTTCCTGCAGAGCAGGGAGCCTGATGCGGGGCTGGATCCCAGGACCCTGGGATCATGACCTGAGCCGAAGGCAAAGGCTTAACGACCGAGCCACCCAGGCGCCCCACATCATTAGTTTTTCAGGTAGTGTTCCATGATTCATTGTTTTCGTATAACACCCAGTGCTCCATTCAATACATGCCCTCCTTCATACCCATCACCGGGCTAACCCATCCCCCCACCCCCCTCCCCCCTAAAACCCTGTTTGTTTCTCAGAGTCCATAGTCTCTCATGGTTCATCTCCCCCTTTTTTTCTCCCCTTCCTATTTTTTTTTTTTTTTTTTTAACATATAATGTATTATTTGTTTCAGAGGTACAGGTCTGTGATTCATCAGTCTTACACAGTTCACAGCGTTCACCGTAGCACATACCCTCCCCAATGTCCATCACCACCCAGCTACCCCATCCCTCCCACCCCCACCACTCCAGCAACCCTCAGTTTGTTTCCTGAGATTAAGAGTTCCTCATATAAGTGAGATCATATGATAGTTGTCTTTCTCTGATTGACCTATTTCGCTTAGCATAATACCCTCTAGTTCTATCCACGTTGTTGCAAATGGCAAGATTTCGGGTTTTTTATGGCTGTATAATATTCCATTGTGTGTGTGTACATAGATAAATATATGGCACATCTTTATCCATTCATCTGTTGATGGACATCTTGGCTCTTTCCATAGTTTGGCGATAGCTCATTTCTTTTTAGTGCTGAATAACATTCCATTGTCTGGATGTACCACAATTTACTTATCCATTTCTAAGAGGGACATCTTGGTTGCTTCCAAATTTTGGCAGTTATGAATAAAACTGCTATAAATTTCCATGTGCAGGTTTTTGTATGGACCTAAGTTTTCAGTTCCTTTGGATAAATACCAAGGATTGCAATTGCTGGATCATATAAGACTATGTTTAGTTTTGTAAGAAACTGCCAAACTGTCTTCCAGAGTGGCTGTACTCTTGTGCAATCCCAGTAACAATGAATGAGAGTGTCTGTTGCTGCATATCCTTACCAGCATTTGATGTTGATAGTGTTCTGGATTTTGGTCATTTTTTTTTTTTTTTAATGATTTGATAGGTGACTTTTAATAAAATCTCAGGCACTACAAAGTATTATAGGAAAATTTAAAATATCAATGAAGTCATAGGGTGTTTGCTATTTTAAGAGTAGATTCCAGTCTCCTTTGCCTGGCATTTAAGGCCTTTCTACATGGTCCTAATCTACCTTCTTCTTATTTTTATTTTTTATTGTTATGTTAATCACCATACATTACATCATTAGTTTTTCATGTGGATTTTGGTCATTCTAATAGGTGTGTAGTGGTATCTTGTTGTTTTAATTTGTATTCTCTGATGACATATGATGTGGAGCATCTTTTCATATGCTTATTTGCCATCTATGTATTTTTGCTGAGGTGTTTTTTGTCCATTTTTTTATAATTGGATTGTTTTCTTGTTGAGTTTTAAGAATTCCTCGTATATTTCAGATAACAATCTTTTATCAAATGTGTCTTTTGCAAATATTTTCTCCCACTCTGTGGCTTGTCTTCTCATTCTCTTTACATTTCTTTGGAAAGCAAAAGTTTTTAATTTTAATGAAGTCCAGCTCATCAAATTTTTCTTTCGTGGATCATGCTTTTGTGTTGTATCAACCCAAGGTCATCTGAGTTTTCACCTATGTTATTGTCAAGGAGTTTTATTGTTTTGTGTTTTACATTTAGGTCAGTAGTCCATTATGAGTTAATTTTTATGAAGAACGTAAGATCTGTGTCTAGATTCTTTTTTTTTTTTTTGCATGTCTAAGTCCAGTTGTTTCTGTACCATTTGTTGAAAAGACTGTTTTTGCTTCATTGTATTGCCCCTGCTCCTTTGTCAAAGATAAATTGGCTGTATTTACATGGGTTTGTTTCTGGGCCCTCTCTTCTGTTCCATTGATCTGTTTGTCAGTTCCTTCACCAATATAATTTTGTCTTGATTACTGTAGCTTTATAGTAAGTCTTGAAGTCCAGTAATGTCATTCCTCCAACCTTGTTCTCCTTTAATATTGTGTTGGCTATTCTAGGTCTTTTGTCTCTTCATGTAAACTTTAGAATCAGTTTGTTGAAATCCACAAAATAACCTGCTGGGATTTTGGTTAGGAGTGCTTTGAATCTATAGATCAAGTTGGGAAGAACTGACATTTTTTTTTTTTTTTAAGATTTTATTTATTTATTTGAGAGAATGAGAGAGAGAGAGCACGAGAGGGAAGAGGGTCAGAGGGAGAAGCAGACTCCCCGCTGAGCAGGGAGCCCGATGTGGGACTCGATCCCGGGACTCCAGGATCATGACCTGAGCCGAAGGCAGTCGCTAAACCAACTGAGCCACCCAGGCGCCCCAAGAACTGACATTTTTAAAAAAAGATTTTATTTACTCATTTGAGAGAGAGACAGAGCACAAGCAGGGGGAGAGGCAGAGGGAGGAGAAGCAGGTTCCCTGCTGAGCAGGGAGCCCGATGTGGGGCTCGATCCCAGGACCTGGAGATCATGACCTGAGCTGAAGGCAGACACTTCACTGACTTGAGCCACCCAGATGCCCCAGAAGAACTGATATTTTGACAATATTGAATCTCCCTATCCATGAAAATGGAATATCCCTCCATTTATGTAGTTCTTTGATTTTGTTCATTAGAGTTTTGCAGTTTTCCTCATATTGACATTGTTTATATTTTGTTAGATTTATATCTGGGTATTTCATTTTTGGGGGTGCTAATGTAAATGGTATTGTGCTTTCAATTCCAAATTCCATTTGTTCATTACTGGTATATAGGAAAGCAATTAACTTTTTTTTTTTTAAAGATTTTATTTATTTATTCATGAGAGAGAGAGAGAGAGACAGAGGGAGAAGCAGGCTCCCAAGGAGCAGGGAGCCCGATGCGGGACTCTATCCCAGGACCCTGGAATCATGACCTGAGCCGAAGGCAGTCGCTTAACCAACTGAGCCACCCAGGCGCCCTTAACTTTTGTATATTAACTTTGCATCTCAACCTTGCTGTGGATTGCTTATTAGTTCCAGGAATCTTTTTGTTTGTTTTGTCAGTTCTTTGGGGTTCTCTACACAGTTGTGTCACCTGTGAACAAAGACAGTTTTTACTTCTTTCTTCCCAATTTTTGTATCTTTTATTGCTTTTTCTTGTCTTGTTGCATTAGCTAGAACTTCTCATATGACGTTGAAAAGCAGTAGTTGAGGGGCACCTGGGTGGCACAGTCTGTTGAGTGTCCAACTCTTGGTTTCAGCTCAGGTCTAATTTCATGGTTGGTCATGAGATCGAGCCCTGCTTTGGGCTCCTCACTTAGCACGGAATCTGCTTGTGTTTCTCTCTCCTCTCATTCTGTCCCTTCCCCCCCGCTCTCTCTCTCTCTCTCTCTCTAAAATAAGTAAAATAAATCTTCGAAAAGAAAAGGAGTTGAGAGGGGTCATTTCTGCCTTGTATCTGATCTTAGTGGGAAAATTTTGAGTTTCTCACCATTAAGTATGATAAAGCCTTTTTGTAGATATTCTTTATCAAGTTGAGGAAGGCCCCTCTCTTTTTCCTAGTTTCCTGAGAGCCCACATTTACTTTTACAGAAGCTCTTGGGAAGACAAGCACATTATCTCTGAGAGGAAATAACACCAGGTCAAAGGGAACATTTGTTTGATCCCCTTTCCTATTATCCAGAATCTTTTTTTTTTTTGGAGGGGAGAGGGAGAAGCAGGCTTCCCATGGAGCAAGGAGCCCGATGTGGGGCTCAATCCCAGGACCCCAGGATCATGACCCGAGCCGAAGGCAGCCACTCAACCAACTGAGCCATGCAG